GTCCTACAGCAATAAGACAGACGTCCTACAGCAATAAGACAGACGTCCTACAGCGAGAAGACAGACGTCCTACAGCGAGAAGACAGACGTCCTACAGCGAGAAGACAGACGTCCTACAGAGAGAGGACAGACGTCCTACAGAGAGAGGACAGGCATCCTACAGCGAGAGGACAGACGTCCTACAGCAATAAGACAGACGTCCTACAAAGAGAGGACAGACGTCCTACAGCAATAAGACAGACGTCCTACAGTGAGAAGACAGACGTCCTACAGAGAGAGGACAGACGTCCTACAGAGGACAGACGTCCTACAGCGAGAAGACAGACGTCCTACAGAGAGGACAGTGGTATTAAAAGCAAAAGGATGGATGTCTCAAAGTGAGAGGACGGTTGTTTCATAGGGAGAGGACAATGTCTCATAATGAGAGGACGGATGTCTCATAGGGAGAGGACGGATGTCTCATAGGGAGAGGACAGATGTCTCATAGGGAGAGGACGGATGTCTCATAGGGAGAGGACGATGTCTTACTCTCACAGGAAGTTCTTGACCGTGTTCTTTGTTCCATTGAACCCCACAGTAAAATGTTTGAAATACCCCTTTAAACAAAGTTAACGATTTAATCTGAGACTGGATTTAAATCTTTTTACAGATAAATTTTGATTCCAGCTGCTCAGATGGAGCAAAGAGTTCAGGAATCTGACGGTTAAATATTTCATCATTTCATTTAATCTGTTTTTACACTTAATTCAGTTAAATTACAGGAAATGTCCCTTTATGGTTATAAAGGAAATAAATCTCTAAATGTTTCATTATAAACTCATAATCTGAGGTTACTGAAGACCAAACTTATTTTTCAAGACATTGTATTTATTTATTTAGAATAATAACTGTCTGACAGTTTAATGGGTTTAATCTGAGATTAATCAGATTAAAAACAGTTTGAAGCTTTTTCTCTTACAGAAGACAAAATAAAGTGTTAATAGTTCAAAGCTTCTCGTCTCGTTTTTAATCTGAGCCGTTTGGAGAGTTTAGTTTGAGCTCGTTTGTTTTCTTTAAATCGATTTAATCTGAACAGAAAAGTGAACTTTTAAAATGTGAGCTGAACTGGTTTGATCTGGTCCGAGTGTTCTGGGTGCAGCTGGGCCTCAACGGGTTTTAATTTTAATTTATTTTAATTTTACTTTTTCAAATCCTAAAGAAAAAGTAACTTTTTGGATCTGGAGGGGAAAAACACGTTTAACGTTTGGCAGTAAAAGTTGAAGAGAAACAGGAAGTAAGATGGAGGACGGCTGACGTCCGAGTCAGGAGACTGTTCAGGAACCTCGGATCGGTCTGACGGATGACCTTTGACCTCGTCGGCTCGGTCCGGGCCTCAGGTGGGCGGCGGCCCGTTGACGTAACTCAGCATGAGGTGGAGGCTTCGGTGCATCCTGTTGCCATGGTGACACGGCGGCTCTGCGACGAGCCAGATCAGGGAGGCGAGCAGAGCGAAGGCTGCGGCCAGGAGGAGGAAGAGGAGCGACGAGGAGCAGGAGGAGGAGGCGCTGCTGCAGGAAGCCACACTGTGGGAACGGGAGGAGCAGATCCAGGTTTAGGTCAGTGACGGTTTTTGTTTTCAACACAAACTCGTTTGTTGAACGCTCTCCGTGTTTTCAGAAACAAAGTTCTGCTCGTCTCCTTCCAGGTCCAGTCTCCTGCAGAGCGTCTCACCTGGACCCGGCGTCGTCGCAGAACAAACGCTCCTCCTCAGGCTGAACAAAGATTTTCTGACGTTAGTTTCTGATAAAAACTGTAAAGTTCCAGACAAACCGTCGAGTGTCCCCCTCACCTGTGGGTCTGACTGATGAAAGCACGTCAGACGCTCCCAGGAGGGTTCTACATTCAGGTCATGTGATGAAGAGCGGGACAGGACAGGAAGTAGATGTGTATTGTCATGGCAACGCATGGCGATGAGGTGAACATCCAGCTGGTCGTCGACGCGGCTTCCATCTTCACAAGACTAACAGGAAACAAAGATCAACACAAACAATTCATTTCAAATAAATGAAGCCAAAAACACACCTGCTGTGAAATATGACACCTGTTAAGCCCCGCCCCCAGGGCCCAACAGAGATCACCTGACCTCTCGCATCATAAACTGTGTTGAAGTTAAAATGACCACAAGAGGGAATCCAACAAAGTTCAGTCAGGTCTTCTGGATGGTTTCCTTTTTTGTTGAGACGTTTCATCCTTCATCCAAAGGACTTCATCAGTTCGAGGAGCCACAAGAAACTCAGCCCCACAAGCAGCTCATAGTGGGTCAACCAGTTTGCTGATGATAAGATGGTTTCTGGGGCCCGCCCTCTCCCCCGTCGACTCCTCTGAGGCAGCCATAACCAAAGTGGTTCAAAACATCAAAGTTCATGCTTTGATTTTTGAGCAACTTTGACATCAGAGGGAATATTCAGGTGTTCTGATCACACTGGAGC